CTGCTCATGATCTACATTTCGTTCTGTATTTGCTTTAACGAATGTGCCATGTTCTCGCAAATAATTAAAAACTGATGCAAATGTTGAATGACAGGGAACTCGACGACCAGCAAATCTTCTATGATATTCTCTTGCTGCAGCTCTGCCATACCCATTACAGATTCCGTACATAAAAATGATATCTGCAGATTCTGCATTTGAAAACTTATGGGGCATTTTGAATAACAACACCAACAACAAAAATTCTAACACTATTGTAAAATAGATAAAACAAAGCGAAATATTATTTTACACGTATAAATAATGGTTGCAAATGACAAATAAATAAGAACAAACAAACGTCAAACTATCACAACCCACCTTGATACATAGATACCTACTATGTATTTATAATAAAAATAAAACCACATAATATCTTAGTTGCAAGAATAAAATGTGCATTTTTTATTAGAGGTTAATAAATAGCATTTATAATTATTAATTAATAAGTGTGAATTTATTGTTCGTTATTGTTATTTGCTACAATTTATTTATTGATTATTGACATGTTTAATTTAGTTGAGTAGTTTGTTTCTATAGTCTACAAAAATAGGCCGATTTCTATTTAAAATTTAAAAATTAACTAACCGGATCTGGAAATTGTCGAAAATGAATTTAACGATATAGTAAGCTCACTAAAGGCTTATGTTTGGCTCGTTTAGTTCAAATGCATACAATTAACAATGTTTTCTTTATGTTATAACATAATTTGTGTGACCCCTTAAGGTGATTTTTCAGTTTTACCCAAAATCGAACCTTAATAAAAAAAAGGTGACAAAAATGTCACATACACAGTTTTGATTGTCTATCTATGTACTTTAAAAATATCTTATTATAATTTAAAAAAATCTTATACAGGGCGAACTTTTTGATATGAATCGTCGAGATTAATTTTTCCTAAGCCAATCCTGGAATTTTTAACTTTTGATGATATGACTTAAATGCTAGACACCAGTGTAATGTTCCACCAAAAAATTAAAGAAATCTAGTAATCCTTGTAGATTTTACGGCCATATAAAGTTTTGTCAAAATTCACAAAACGAAGGGGAGTTGCCACTTTTTAATGCTCATATGATATACCCCTTAAGGGACTCTACATATAGTAGAAGTCTGTAAGGTTCCTCATGACTCACCCTGTATAAGTGACAATCTTTAATCAACGTATAGCATATCCCTTAGACTAGGTAATAAAAAGAGGACGCGAGTTATATGTATATATTATTTTATCTATAGCTTAGTCAGCATTTAAAATGTTATAAATATATGTAAGTTGTTTATTTCGATAATTCTTCGATAGAGTTTTAGTTTGGAATTAAAGAGTTTAAAAAAAAAACGGTTTTTCTCTTAAAAAACCATAATTCACAAGTATATCGAGCACACGTAGTATTCTGTGCCGATTATCTATTAGCCGCCATTATTTTGATGCTAATCATTTCGGTGACACCAAAGTTTTGTTCGTGTTTATTTCTGATTTTTGAAATAAACGACATTTAATAAGTGGTTTATTACAATGGGTTATTGTGTGGCATATCAGTGTTAAAGTTATAACGACAAAAAATTAGCAGATATTACGTTTTAGTAGATGTAATTGGCCGGTTCTGGAAATGAGAAAGAGGTACAGAGAGAGGTAATTGGGTAATTAGTAATTATCCTAAGTACCCCCCACCCTTCGCGCAATTAGCAAGTACCTCCCAATTACATCATGTACTGTAATAAGTGCAATTGCACAGTAAGTACCACCCAATTACATCATGTACTGTAATAAGTGCAATTGCACAGTAAGTACCTCCCAATTACCATGTACACGCCATACTGTAATGATTGTAATTGCATAATAAGTACCTCCCAATTACCCACAGGGTATACATCTCATTACTCCATACATATTAAAGTGTAAGTACACCTTAGGTAGTAATTACTGTATGCAATGTAGTGTAATGAATGTTATCTAAGTGCCTCCTAGTGATTAATGTTGGTAGCACGTCCTTAACTCTCAGCCGGCGTGCCTAGAGTGCATAGCTTGCGTTAGAGACGGTCGTGCTTAACCGAAATATCGAAGTAAGGGACTAAGAAGGGGTAGCCTGCGCCAGAGATAGACGCGCAATTAGAAAGTACCTCCCAATTACAGCATGTACTGTTGTAATAAGTGCAATTGCACAGTAAGTACCACCCAATTACTATCTACACGCCATACTGTAATGATTGTAATTGCATAATAAGTACCTCCCAATTACCCACAGGGTATACATCTCATTACTCCATACATATTAAAGTGTAACACCTTAGGTAGTAATTACTGTATGCAATGTAGTGAATGTTATCTAAGCGTCTCCTAGTGATTACTGTTGGCAGCACGTCCTTAACTCTCGGCCGTCGTGCCTAGAGTGCTTAGCCTGCGTTAGAGACGGTCGTGCTTAACCGAAATATTGTGGTAAGGGACTAAGAAGGGGTAGCTGCGCCGGAGATAGACGCACCCAACTGAAATATCGAGGGAGGAGCTAAGAAGAGGTGGTGGAATTTTCTAGAGGATATATATAGTAGGACCCGCATCCAAATCCGTACAAATATCGTTAGCTTTAAGCCTATCGGGAGTTCTATCATCTAATATCGAAATAATCATAAAAATAATAAACATGTATAAGTGCAATTGTGGTTTAACATATACAAGGGTAGATAATTTACGTCGACATCAAAATAAAAGTTGCAAGCTGATATCTAACCGCATCGGCGAATCATCCGGAGGTACGAAGAGATCTACTACTCCCAGTAATGATGTTCCACCTGAAAAAAAAGCCCGGGTAATGCGAGTTCCACAAGTTCATACGCATCGCATCGTAGACTCAAAAGCCCATAATAGAAGATGTGAATCATGTAATGTAGATGTCCCTACCAATCAGATGACGTCGCATATGAGGAGTCTTGGGCATAAAGAAAAAGCCTGTGCAATTCATGCTGATGGTATATATTTAATTAAGAGCGCGTTTAAGTGCAGAATCGCAACTTACAGGCTTAAATGTGATGAAAAACATATAGATTATGTAACATTTTTTGATGCGATAAAATTAAGAGTATTGAAATTGTTAAAAGTTGTTCTGAAGGCCCATAATGCCATTAAAGTTAATGTAGAGGCCTTTGCTACTTATGCATTGGAGAGCCAAGATGTTTCTGAAATCAAATCTTTTAACAGCATAAATCGAATACTCGATTTGTCGACGGATTTGGATGCGGTATATGTAGACTTTAAGGACGCTGTGGTATCTCAAACTGCAGACTTTCAACATAAGGATTCAGGTATAGTAGTTTTATAATTCATAGTATAGCATTTACTAATATATTACTAATTGTTTCAGGTTGGACATTACGGGAAGTACTATTTTTAGAAGTTAATATAAATAAGTACTCCCCATTGGGCGGCTGCTCGTACATTAAGCTC